ATGTGTTTGAAACCAAGTTTATTAGTGTCTTTAGGGAAACGATGCATCACTGTTACAAGTTTGTGTTAAGGAAAATGTTGGATCTGCACATGGCATTATTCTAATACTCAGATTTTTTAAACATCATAATAGGTATTTTGTATATAAATAAAAAAAGAGAAAAACAGAGTATGAGTGAAAGGAGGCAAAAAAAAAGAAATAAATTTTTAAAATATAAAAGGAAAAATGAAAGGCAGAAGGTAACAGAATTTTTGATAGAGAAGTAGAAGGAAAGAAAGTGCAAGATACCAAGAAAGAAGAAAAAGAACGATTACCAAAATTATTACCGAAGTTATGGAATGGAAAGATGTGCACATTTATAGATTGTCACTTGATATTACTGCATCTTATTTCTTTTTCCTTCCTTTCCTGTTTCTTAATCTTATTTCCCTTCTCCGCTATTTTCCTCTTTGTTGTCTGCACTTTACTTAACTGTTTCTATTTCACTTTTTTTTTTTTTTTTTTTTTTTTTTTTTTTTTTTCGTCTTCCTTTTCCTTTTCATGACTCTTCTTTTCTCCCCCTTCTCCGTCTTTCTCTTTCCATCCTTAAATTCTTTGGCTTTCCCTTCTTTTCCATTAGTTGTCATGTTTTTCCTTTTCCTGTTTTCCTTCCCCTTTTTCTCACATATTGTTGATTTCTTTATCATTTTTCCATATAGTCTTAAAAGGAAAGGAATCAGTATATAGTTTTATCCAGTACTTATCTTTCACTCTGTTCTCTTTTCTTATTTTTGTCTTACATAAATAGTTTATTTATTGTCTTTCCAATTTTGATTTTGTTGTCTTTTTCTTTTATCAAATCAAGACAGAACAGAATATCAATCCTCATGACAGGTAAAATTCCTTTACCCGTTGATGCCAGGATGGCATGAACACTCACCATATTTTATCTACAACCCTGCTAGATGGAATATTGGAATTGTACTTATGTAGAACGGAGTGGTTGTCAGTGCTAGTTTCAGTATCATCAGATTACTCATAAAAAATATATATATAATAATACAAATATACATGTTTTTGATGTTTATTTTTCTGTCCATATGAGACAGTTAAGTCAAAGTAAGATGAAACAGATAATATGCTGTAAATTGTGAATGCTGAAAATATTTCCTTTTCAAAAAAAAATTAAAATGTGTGCTTGTTGGGTTGTAGGGGGAAGAGGAAGCAAGGACAGCAGCTTTGTGCAGGTGTAGGGAAAGTATCTAAAGCAAAATAATAAAGGAAACAAAGAGAAAATAGAAAGAGTGAGTGCTTGCATGCGTACGTGCGCATTTATGTATGTGCGTGAGACCGAGTGAGTGAGTAAGTTGGAATATATATCATAATTTTCTTTAGGTTATATTTCAGTGGTAGTGTATACTATGAATAGAAAATGCAACATATGCTTAACCCAATCATACTGAAATGACATGCTATCGGAGCATATCATTGTATAGACTAACCTTCACACATAAGGTCTTTGGGTTATGTGTAATCAAACCTGCTCTAAGTTGTGCTTTTTTGGCCTTGGCTACATTCATTGAGGAGAAATAGCCCCTAATAAAAGGCTTAAAGCCTCTTTAACCTTGTATTTAAAAAAAGAAAAATGTTGCAGCCGAGAGCATATATAGTGGGTTAATTTTGTGATTTCCATGCTTTTGATTTTTCCATTAAGCAATGGACTCTTCAAGCATCCTGAACCACTGTTCATTGTAGCACTGGGGGCTCCCATTGTGATTGGGTTAGATGGCTCAACTGCCCTTAAGAAGTCTGTTGCTAGTGTGGGTGCATCCAAAGTACATATAATGCATGGAAATCATAGAGAATCAGTGATATACAATAGGCCTTTTGAATGCACTTTTATGATGGTGTTTTGTTTTTATAACCTATTGACTTTGTAAGATATTCTAAATAAATAGGTTGAAAATGTATATTAACCACATGCCAACAGGGAGGGCATGTGCATGCATGCCATGCCCACTGTGTGTTTAATTTAATGATTGTTTTTACATATAGATGGCTCCACAAGTACTAGGTCACCAATGAGTCAGTTACAGGAAATACCTGTCTCACCTGTTCAAAATTTTCCTTGATTTTTGATAATATTTTCTGGTATTTAAATCTGCTGTTAGTAATGTCAGTAACAATATAATAATTGTAATGTTCTATAGTAATAATAACAATATTAATATTGATAGCATTAGTAGTTTTTCCCGCTATTTCAAGGAAAGGTGAGGTCACACAATCTACTAATTAATTCCTTGTGGCTAAGCACTAGCAGAGCCATCTATGTGCAGAAACATTTAACAAAACGGCACTAAAGTGAATGCAACATTTTCCCTGTGGCATTGAGTCGATTCTTTATAATTTTCACATTACTTTATTTTCCATATTATAAAATGTAACATGGCAGATTGAGAAGCAAAGTTGTATATAAGATATATTTGAAATTCAAATGACAGGAAATGTCTTGGTTAGATAAAAATTTACTACCTCACAAAATGCACACACGCACACTCACTCACATTCACACTCATACTCACACTCACACTCACACTCACACTCACACTCACACTCACACTCACGCTCACACAAACACACACATACGCATACTTACATACATACATACATACATACATACACATTTTAAACACATTACACTCACACTCAACACACACACATACGCATACTTACATACATACATACTTACATACATACATACATACATACATACACATTTTAAACACATTAGAATAAAATTCCCTTCAAGAAGGGCATGCAAGTGTCTATATTTAGTCTAGGTGGATTGGAGATTGTGGATTGCGAGTGTATGTACATGCCATAACCACTGTCATTTTTATTTATTGAATTGTAACAAAACTAAAAATACAACTCCCAAATAATTCCTTCCAGTTTCATCTAATTGAATCGGAAGAAATGCCCTCCCAGCCCCGAAGAGAGAAATGTATATTTTTAGTCATTACTTCCCCTTTATTCTAGGTGGGCTAATCGTACTACGCGACTTGTCCTTCGCCATGACTGTATGCAGCCGCAAGCTCAAGATGTACCATGACCCGCCATTGGCCTGGGTCACGCCCGATGGGATAGTAGTGGCCGAGGGGGGATCCTTAGCCCTAATACCCTATACTGTCAAGGAGTCTAACCTAGCCACAGTGTTTGGTACTAAGGCCTCAGGTATGTATATGTATACGTACACATGTGTGTGTGTGTGAGTTGAATGAGTGAGTGAGTGAGTGAGTGAGTTGAGTGAGTGAGTGAGTGAGTGAGTGAGTGAGTGAGTGAGTGAGTGAGTGAGTGAGTGAGTGTGAGTGAGTGTGAGTGAGTGAGTGTGTGTGTGTGTGTGTGTGTGTGTGTGTGTGTGTGTGTGTGTGTGTGTGTGTGTGTGTGTGTGTGTGTGTGTGTGTGTGTGTGTGTGTGTGTACAGAAGATTATGAATATACCTCAGAAGTTTGTCGCAGTTGGAACCTGGGGACAGAGGAAGCAGTACCCGAGGAAGCGCAGGAGACCATTTACACCAACAAAAGCACCGAATTGACTCACATCATAAGGGAGCTAAGGAAGGACACACTAACAGAAAGCTTGTAAGTTTGTTTTTTTCTTTTCTTTTCTATTCAATTTTTTTCCTTTTTTTCAGATGGTCAGTGTGTTTGTCTGTGTGGTGAATTTTGTTAGTGCGTGAGGTGGTTTGTGCAAATTGTTAAGTTTCTGTGTGTGTGTGTAAGTATGTGCGTGCATGTTTCCGAGAGAGAGAGACAGAGACAGAGACAGATAAAGAAAGAAAGACAGACAGAGAGAAAAACAGAGAGAGAGCAGCAGCAGCAGCATTTGTGATTGGTGAATCACTTCACAATCTTGTGACAAATATCCTTTGCCAAATTTGTAGAAATTAAAAAGTTATGAAATCTTTATTAAGGGAGTGTGCATGACACTTATGGTAACAATATACTGAATCTTTTAGTCATGTATTTCTGCCTAACGTTGATCAATAGTTCTGTGAATAAATGTTATAAAAGTCAAAATGTGTCACTTTTGGGCATCTGACAGTATTGCAACACGTATAGTTTATTTAACCCAAGAAGGTGAAAGGTTTCCATAAAATCACACAGTGGTAAAAGAGGTGTATCCTACAAACTATTAGAAGAATTACAACAAATATGGGACTTGACATTATTTTATTGTGAATTTTGATTTATACTGAAATAAAGTCAGTCATTAAGAATTATTTAGTATTGTAATGACATAAATCACATAGGTTGTTCAATTGTGAGGCACTTGCTTAAGAGAACTTTCGCTGCTGGGTTAGTTGGTATAACTGTAAGGTGTAGATGGTTGCAGCAATTTCAGCAATTCCTCTGGATGAGGTAGAGTGATGATCTCCTCCAGTGCTCTCAATCAAATAATTGGGCAATTCCACAACAGGAGGGACATGAGGGGAAAAATATAGGAATCATTATTTCTTTCTATTTATGGTGGGAATTTATTCACAAGACCCCCAGCTTCCCAGAAAGAAGTTGTTCTAAATTTGCCCCATTATTTTTCTTCATGAATGTGACTCAGATATATTTTACATGTTTTCAAGCCTTTAGACCCCTAAAATAGATTATTAATTTTACCCTTGCAAAGCTTCTTAATTAACTTGCTTTTTGGTCCATTTTCACTTGATTTAAGATGCTAGCACTTGATTTAATATGCCAGTACTATTTGCTAGACAATACTTCTCACAATATATAAAAACTGTAATATCCATCGCGTAACGTCCATCACATATAGTTATACGATATATTTTCATTGGGTTTGGCTTTGACAGTTAACAATTTTTAGTTTTCTGTGACCATCTTGAGTTAATTTTTAGGGGAGAAATACAAATGTATAGCACCAAGTTTTCAGACAATTAGCAAATAAAGTTACTCAGTTTTTACCTATGTCCATTTGATATAACATCTGTCACACATAAGTTTCTGATTACCCTCAGGCTGTATATGGCAAGCTAAGAATATTTCCTCTAGCAATAAGGGAACCTGAAATAACTTCCAACCCCTCAGAATGTAACATCTGTCACTGGAATTACCCAATACTCTCTGCTAATCCAGTACCCTATGATGTAGTAATGACGGAGACAGTAAAGTATGATGTCTGACCAATAGGCTGGGATGCCTGAGTGAGTAGATGATGGATACCAGAAATGACAGAATAATTGTTATATAAAATAAGATGTACAGATATGCAAAATTTGTTGTTTGATTTTCTTGCCTTGTTTACATCGCATCAGATATATGTTAATAGAATTACTTTGTATAGGTCATACAGTAATAACTGGAAACATAAAACTGGAAGCAAAACTTCCCTAAGCGTCTGTAGTGAAAAAAATATCTACTGAAGGTTACCATTGGTACTGAACTCTTGTTAAAATGAAATAACAGCAAAGTTGTTTTATTTTTAAGCATAATTCAGAAGCATTTGATTTAATCAAATGACTTTATTGCAGTTCTTGTCATTAATGTTTTTTGATGCACATAGGTCTAGTCCTACTCACAAATCCAGGGGTAATGGCTCTGCAAATTTATTTTTACAAGCATTTTGTATTAATTTTTCTTGACAATGAATTAGAAAAAAAAAATTGCTGAATGGGTTTATTACATTCTCTACAAGTAATCTTTCAAAGAAAACCATTGTGGCATAACAGTTTCAGAGCCAATCAAGACTTGAACGCTCTCAGCCAATCACAGCACATCCAGCAAGCATGAGTTGGTTTTCATGACCGTTTTGTTATTTGGTTTTAAAATGTTACCAGACTGCAAAGATTGAGATACAGTGGAATAGACAATCCTGGGATATATGTAGAAATTAGTAGGGAGTCAAGAATCTTGTGAAAAACGTTATAGATTATTATTGTCTTATTTATTATTCTAGTAGTAGCACTATCTCTATTATTATTATTATTATAACCATGACAGTCACCATCGTCATCATCTTCACTGTCACTCATCAATGTGTCACTCATGACCGTTGATCTTATCATTTCCTTTATTATCATTTTCCAGATTAGTCACACACCTAGTGAACATCCTGCTGGAGCAGAAAAAGACACGACTACTCAACGAGACTCTTGACGCTTTCCGCGACATACCCGAGGCCTGCTTGGTTGACATTGCCAACTACTATCTTAGTTGCAGTGATGCCGATTTTGAAGGCCTCTGCAAATGCCCTCCGATGGAAACCAAGTGCGTCATTCCAGGAGATGAGCCTGAAGGTATTTTAAGGTTTATTATTTTGTGTTTTGTCAAAAGTTCTTCAGTTTTTGCCCATTTTTAAGCCTGAATGTTGGTTATCTTTTATTGGGTGTTTATTTATATTTATTTTATTTCTTTTCTATTTTATCATTATCATTATCATCATTATTATCATCCTCATTATTATTGGCATCATCATTATTATTATTATTATTGCTATTTTTCCTTTGTTATTATTATTATCATTATTATCATTATTATTATTATAGCTATTATTTTTATTATGATGGTGATGGTGTTGATGTGTATGTGCTTTTATGTTCATGCGTGTGTGTGTGCATGATCATTATTGTTGTTATTATTATTATTACTGTTTCTATTTTTATTATTTTAACTATTATTATGTGTGTGTGTGTGTGTTTGAGATTAATAACACAGTTATTGTAAGGCAAGAATCAAAACCACAGGTCATATCAGTCACTTTTCATATCATTTTTCATGCAAAACCATTCTATGTTCTTTACCCTTTTTCTCTTCTGACCCCCAGAAGTCACCTGTCCATTTGGCAAAGCAAAGGCCCATTTCGTGAACGGCCTGTTGCGCAAACCATTCACCGACATCTTGCTGTCGCCGGAACTGTATCGCCTAGGCTTCGACTGTGCCCTGAGCCTCATCCAGTACCTGCATTTCATACTTGCTGCAGGAGAGGTGAGAGGGAGCTGTTGCTGTTGCCGTTGCTTCTGGATGGGGTCTGCGTCACATTTGCAGATTTTAGAATTAGAGATAACTAGACATATATTGATAAATAGAGAGATTCTAAGGGATGAATATTGAATTTTCCTCGCTTGAGTCTGTGCTTCTTCTTGACTGCTTCCTCCTTCCCTCACTTTTCATATTCGTAATTTCATTTGATTTTAATTCTATCCTCCCTCATTAGACTTACAACCCCACCACTTATCTTAACCCAAACTTTACTCACTCTTACTCTCTCTCTGACTCCTCTCCCCCAGGCGGAACTTGTCCCTGAAGAATCTTCCCGCGTTCCCTCGGTTGCACAGGCGAGTTCATGGTTGAGTCTCCTTCTGGACACAAAATACCAGCACCTGGTTATGACGTCACAAGTGGACATCCACCGCCTCCTCCTCTCTTGCTTCACTCAAGTCAATAATCTGGTAAGTCGGATACAAGGATTTTTCTAATTCTTATTTTTAGCCCTGTTGCTTCATTTCGGTATATCATTATTGTTGTTTTATATATTGTTTTGACCCCAAATTTTTATTGTTATTATTATTATTATTGTTAGTATTACTGTCATCATTTTTCTTCTTCTTTTTCTTTCTTCTTTCTTTTCACTTTCTCATATATCTTTTCTCTTCAAACAGAGGATCTTCCTCGAAGGTCTTATGGACGTAGAACCCCTCGTTAAGAGAGTCGTTGAGGCCAAGGTTCTCCCGCCACAGATGAATTCCTCATCATATTCCCTTGAACGACTGACCATCACGTGATCCTTTATGTGGTCTTAGAATGTGCTGAATGTGAAAGGAGAAAAATTTGTTAAAATGCTACATTAAAAGTTTTTTTTTTTTTTTTCTTTGGAGTTTTATTTCTTTACCAATTGTTAGTCACTATGAATTAAATATTTTCTGTAAGGCAAATAGTGTCCAAGTGAAATTAAGATTTTTCTTCTACTCTTTACAAGTTTTGATATTGCATCTTTGTCTAAAAATCCTATTCTTTACTGTCAATGTGCATATATTTACAATCAGAAGACAGTGTAGCCTAACTGTTTTGAAATTTGTGTGTGTGTACATTGATGTTGATGAAAGAAAGCTATTAGATTTTTATAAATGAGAAGTTGAGATAACTTGACAAAACGGAAAGGGAAAGTTTTCAAGTTTGAGGATCTAACTTGATCATTTACATAAACAGAAGGTCTGTGGAAATGTTTTTTTTTTAGTGATAATTGACTTCTTTACCTATAAATTTAATGTTTCCATTTTTTCTTGAAGCAATCCTTAAGTTGAGGTAGCATGAAGACATTGCAATTTTACCACACAAATATCCATTTCTTTGAATATTTACTTGTAAAGACAAGGTTTTGCATATGAAAACAAAGTATTTTTATTAGTAAATAAAACCAAAGAAATGGTGCAAATATGTATTTTACAATATTCGCAAATACAAATGATTATTTCAATATTCATGAATTGAATATCTCATATAAAATACAACCGGTACACTAGATATGCAACATTTTGGCAATCATATGTTTGTCTTCGTTTAAACATCTCAAAACATAATTCATATAATTTGGGGGGAATTATGCAGTTACTGTTGTTGCTTATTTTTATGGCCGTGATAGTTCTCTGTTTTTCATTTCTGTTTAAGTCTGTTCCAGTGTGTCAAAACTTGGATGGGCTCTTGTTAAGTTTAAGATCAGAAGCTGGACTTCTTGCTCACCAACTTGATGTTTATCAATACCAGATACAATTACTAAACGAGGATAATTTTCCATTATAATTTGAGATGTTCAAAAAGTAGTCAACTGTGTTTTAATATCTCTTCAGTCATCAGAACCATGTGTTATGTAACCTCTAACAATGTTAAGTAATGAATTTGAGGCTGAAGTTTAACATAACATTCTTTCTTATGATTATTCAGAACTTGGTTTCAAAACATACTGAAAATGTATTAGATCCACTGATGAAGATAGCTTAGCCTAAAAGTATGATTGGTCATAAATTTTCCTTTCAATTACATGGGAGTAAAACAACAAACATTAGATACTTTTTTATTAAAGTTTAAAGAAATAAACCATTACATTCTTAGTACATACTTGACAATTATTAGATACATCATCTTGCCTTATATACTACTAATACATTATCTTACATAACCGACGCGATCAGTTATGGTTAGGAAATACAGCTTCCCCCACCCCATCCCTCCTACCTTGGTAAACCACTTCTAATCCGCCAGTGTTGTGAAGTGCACATTTAATGCAGTACATTCGCTCACACCCCAAAAGGAAATCATGGTTTCAAGCGTCAAGGAAACGTCCCTTTTTCACAGTCTTGGAGATGAATGAGAGGCTGTAGGAGTGGAGGGTAGTTCAGTGATAAGAGGCGCAAGGTTGCTTCTCTCGAAGTCCCTCTTGTGGCAGGAGAGAAAGGGGCTTTGACACGTGTTTGTGCGGGAAATGACAGTGTCCTTCCTTGAACAAAGAGCTGTGGTAAAGACCTCGCAAGGCTTAAGACGTGCGATTTCTCAAGACAACCCATACAGATCTCACAGTTAGACCTCCATGACGGAAGGCTTAAACATCGGCCTGCATTTCCTGGAAGATCCGAGCAGGCGGTTTCCTCAACCTGCTCGGCGTCGAAGGGCTTTCTGTCGTTGAAGCTGCAGATCGCTTGGTCCCGTTAGTAGGGCACGACGACCCTAGAAGGCGCGGAAGCACTTCGCTGAAGGAAGGCCGACCGCTCATAAGACCCAGTGCATGTTGCGGCGGACGGGCATGCAGTGGAGCCTGATGGGGCCCTTGTACACGTGGTTGCGAGAGCCGGCCATCTTGTGTCCCAAACACCGCTGAGCAATCATGTCGGCCTTCTGCCCGCGGTACACCTTCTCCGTCGTGAAGCTGATGGCCGAGCAGGCGAAGGTGCACAGCTCGCCATTACGGCCGTGGACGCGCTTCAGGCTGTATTCCTCGCCCACCTCGCAGTCCACCACGCGGATGTCGAAGGTCACGGGAACTCCGGGCCCCGCGTCCAGGCCGGGGCAAGCACATGCGTCTGCGGAGAAAGGAAAGGGGGTTGAGAATTTAGAATTACAATTTTCTTTGGTTCAGTTTGTGAATCGAATTTGCTTTTATTACACGTGCTAAAAAAAAGTTCTATAAAGGTACTACAGCTTATCTATACGAACATGTTCAAGAAACTAGATATTATATGACTTAATCTATTTGTGAACATACACTGATAAGACCTGATACATCAAGATAAAACTTCACAATCACAAGTGCTTCTGTATATAACCATTCAAACAATTTCTACCAATAACATCTGGGGAACGACTTATCTACATAAAAAATAAAAATATTCCACGGACACCTCTTAGAAACATAAACAAACCACCAACAGTGAAACAAGAACGCGTTAAAATCCCCCCCCCAGCTGACCGTGAGTAGCTAACGGAAGGCAAGGCAAACAGAATAGGTAATAGATCCTGGGTATGGGTAATTATCGAGAAGGGCATTGGTGGCCAGGTGTTATGTATGGGGGTGTGGGGTGGGGGGGGGGGAAGAGGGTGTAGGAACAAAGCCGAACGGTATTAAATATGGGGTATGGGGGGGTATGGGGAATGGATGTGAGGGGAGAGGGGGCGGTCAGGAAGAGTGGGTATGGGAGTAAAACAGGTGCGAGTCGAGACCCAAAAGTACTTTCATCACTTGACCTTGCTTCTCCTCCCCCCTTTCTTCCTTTTTTCTTGGTGTTTGGTTTACTTTTTTTATACATATATATTGTACGGTTGAAAGTCTACTTGACGTTCGGTTTACTTTTTTATATATATTATTGTACGATTGAGTGTAGATTTTATGTTTAATTAAAGACATTTTTAAACCCTGAGAAACTTCACTATTAAAATGGTACCAATTTTTTTTCTTCTTCTTTCTCTCCCTCCATCCCCTGCCTGGCCTTCTCTCACTTTTCTCTTTCTTCTCCTTTGTCTGTTTACATTCCAAACGTCTGATTTTGGCCTTGGCTGATATGCTTCATTTTGCCCTCCCTCCCCATGTGCTGTTGCTATGCTATATTCTCGTCTCTTTATTAACAATATTCCCCTTCATTTTCTTCATTTTTCTTTGTGTATTTCACCCATACTTCTGATTCATTCTCTTCATAACGCAATTTTCTAATCCATCTTAACTTTGTATTTCATTTACTCCTGTTAATTTTTTTATGCTTCATGTATTCTCTCTGTCTTATTAATTTACCTTATTTCCCTTCTATTGTTTTTCTTCTAATGAACAAGTTTCTCGAGACCTGAACCATGATCACTGAAAACAAGCGAATACTACTGGAAATACACATACGGTGGTTAGGCTTTCACTACTACTGTCAATCTTATCGGTCATCACGGAAGCCATATTTCCTAAAACAATATCTTCTACTTCCTGTTCCTAATATGAACAGGAGAATGGCGTATAATAAAATAAGGAAAACAATATCTTCTACATGTTCCGAATATGAACAGAATAAATGGTGTATAATGGCGTAGGGGAAGTTTTTATATCAAAACACGTGTTCGCCTAAATGTCTCGACTTTCAACTTTCATTATTCGCGTTTACTAGAAGCTTCTAGAGAGTCCACGCTGCCGTAGCATCAGTTAAAAGTAAAGGTTCATCTGTCACGTGTCTAGTTCTACTTCCCTCGTCAAGTTCTATGCGTAGTGAATGAAACCGTAGTGATGATGCTGATTAAGATGAAAAAAGACTATTTCTTGCCAGTATCGTCTATATATTAGGTGATTTTAATGTCAGTAACGACTATAATAGTACTAGCAATAATGAAAATAAGAAACAATAATACAGTGCTACGAGTAATTTTGATAATATTGGCGATTATGCATCATTGTCTCTCGCCTTGCCCTATACCTCATATCACGAATAAAATTAATAAACTAATATCAAAATATGACAAAAAAAGGTAATTCACAAGTAAGAGGTCTCGCTCGCGTAAACCAGAATCCACAAACAAGAAAAAGACAAAATAATAAATAAATACATACATAAAAATAATAATAAAAATAATATAATATAAAAAAAACAAATACATATATAAATAATAAATAATAATAATAAAATAAAAAAATCTTCCAAGAATTCCTCACCTGTGCCACACAAACAAGAAAAAGACAAAAAAAAGAAAAAAAATCCAGGAATTCCTCACCTGTGCCACTCCTCTTCCTCAGCGACTTGGTGCCGTAGATCGCGTACTGGGCATCGTCTTCGGCCGTGATCGACCCCTGAAACCACGTGCCCTCCTCGTCGAAGCAGAGCGTCGCCACGCCCGAGATTTCTACGTGTGGCCCGTTCATGTTGGTGAAGCACATGACTGGGAGGTTGGAGGCGTGAGGCTGCAAGGGAGACACTTTCGCTGTCTTCTTCGGGAGGAGGTTGGGAGAAAGGAGTTCGCGGTTTTCTTTCCCGTCTGCTTTAGCTTTGGTCACTGCGAAGTCTTGTCAGAGTTAGTTCACGCACTTTTATTTCCCCGTAAAGTTTGTTTTTTCTGTTTAAACTTCGAGTCAAAACTTGCGGAAAATGCAATGAGAATTTCTGGTGCTTCTGATCCTGAGTGGAGATCAGTAATGGCGGGAAAACTAACTGTTCTTGCTATCAGGAGGCTTGTCACTGCAGTGGCTGAGCGGGTACAACTAGTTGAGGGCAGGACCGCGCGGGTGGTAATATAGCCCAAGTCTGGCGGAGGAGGCAGGCAGTTGCAGGCTAGCTCTAACTGGTAGACACCTTCGTGACGTCAGAGCCAAGCTGGCTGGCGATTCGCTGGCTAGACGACGTATGTGAAGTCAAATCCTGCGAAGGAGAAAGAAGGAGGAATAAGAAGACGAAATACACGCTGGGCAAGTTGGCGTAAACAAACGGCAGAGAGAATTGGGAAATGTGCCGCGTAGGCCTATTATTCAGGCGCACGTGGCGGGGATGGGGGGGGGGGGGCGAAGGCATGAAGAGGAGGAGGAGAGCAAGCTAGTGTATGCCGGGGGGGGGGGGGGGGGACCCTTTGCGTTGACTAATATAAACATGAAAAACCCACGTGTTCTTTCTCGATGCAATGGCCTCCCTCCCGCCTCCTGCCCTCGACACCCACCCCCACTCGACACATAAAAAAAAGTGTAAGATTCTTCCACTGTGAATGCAGAAACATCTAGATTTATTTCTCGCAAAGACAAAAAACAACAACAACAAAAAAAACTATGCAAATGGAAATGACTCTTCCACTGTCAGTGCAGAAACATCTGGATTTATTATCCGAAAAAAAAAAAAAAACTATGCAAATGGAAATTTCCTAATAGTATTATGAATGGAAATTTCCTAACAGTATTACGAGGTTAAATGGTATAATTTTACATGTATTTTAAAATTCGCTTTCATGTTTATCTTTCATTTATAATTTCTCTGCTAACACTACGAATTAAACAGCAAAAAAAGAAAAAAAAATCTTTCGACATGATAAGATTTTTTTGTTGTTAAATTGCTTTCTCTTTCTCTCTCTTTCTCCCTTTCCAAAATCTTAATACAGGAAACACCTTCGGATTTAGAATAAGATTAAAACCACACCACTAAAAACAGCATTGCAACCCAGCAACATGTATCCTGCAGTGTCTTGATACAGCTGGTTTGGCATATTGTCCTATCTGGTCCAATATCTTATAATTTTCTTGATTTTTTTCCGGTCTTGTTGTTCCTGATTGTTCTTTTTGTCTTTCTTTTTGTTCCCTCTCTCGCTCTCTGTCTCTTTCTTTCTTTCTTCTTCTCTCTCTCTCTCTCTCTCTCTCTCTCTCTCTCTCTCTCTCTCTCTCTCTCTCTCTCTCTCTCTCTCTCTCTCTCTCTCTTCTCTCTCTCTCTCTCTGTGTGGTGTGTGTGTGTGTGGTGTGTGTGTGTGTGTGTGTGTGTGTGTGGTGTGTGTGTTGTGTGTGTGTGTGTGTGTGTGTGTGTGTGTGTGTGTGTGTGTGTGTGTGTGTTGTGAGTGATGAGTGAGTGAGTGAGTGAGTGAGTGAGTGAGTGAGTGTGAGTGTGAGTGTGTGTGTGTGTGAGTGTGTGTGTGTGTGTGTGTGTGTGTGTGTGTGAGTGAATGAGTGAGTGTGAGTGTGTGTGTGTGTGTGTGTGTGTGTGTGTGTGAGTGAGTGTGAGTGAGTGAGTGAGTGAGTGAGTGAGTGAGTGAGTGAGTGAGTGAGTGAGTGAGTGAGTGAGTGAGTGAGTGAGTGAGTGAGTGGAGAGAGAGTGAGAGAGTGAGTGTGTGTGTGTGAGGGCGTTCTTTTCCTCTTGTCTGTTCTCTGTTATTTCTTTTTTCCTACTTCAGTTTCTACTTCTCTTTTAATTTCCTTTTGGTATCCTCATCGTCATTACTTTTATCATCATTAGAATCACTTAAGTACCACACACTTTTCTTTCTCTCTTTTTTTCTGTCTATCTTCTCCTCATCTTTCTTCTTCTTCTTCTCTATTTTTTTCTTCTTCTTTTTTCTCTTCTTTCTTCTTCTTCTCTCTTCTCCTTCTTCTCTTCTGCCTTCCCCTTCTCCTTCCTTTCTCCTTCTCCTCCTTCTTTTCCTTGTCATACTTGTAATCCTTGTCCGCCTTCACCTCCTCCTCCTCCTACTCCTTCTTCTTCTTCTTCTTCTTCCCCTTCTTCTTCTTCCTCCTCCTTCTTCTTCTTTCCCTTCTTCCTCCTCCTACTCCTCCTCCACCTCCTCCTTCTTCTTCTTCCTCTTCTTCTTCCTCCTCTCTTTCTTCATCTCCTCCCCCTCCACCTTAATATCTTCCTCCCCCACCTTCTCTTCTTCTCCTCCTTCCTCAATATCCTCTTTTCTTCTGCTTCTTCTTCTTTTTCTATTACTTCTCCTTTTGTTATTATCATTATTATCATTACTGCCATTATCATTACCATTATCACTGTTATTACCATTCATATATCATTATCATTATTGCTATTATTATCATTATTATTATTATTATATATTATTATTATTATTATTATTATTATCATTATTACTTTCATTATCATCATTATTATTATCAATATTATTATTATTATCATTATTATTATTATTTATTATTATTATTATTATCATTATTATCACTGCCATTGTATCATCATCACCACACCCATCATCAATCATCACCAAAATCGTTTCACACTCTTCTCCTGTTACAGCTGCGATGAAGCATGTTGCTATTTATAGCCACATGACATCATCGTGAACAAATATCACAGCAGGTAAACTGAGCGACTGTTCTATTCTACTCGATTTGGCCTGTTTGGTCAGAAGTGATGGGGGGGGGGGGAAGGGAGAAGAGGGGGGGAGGGGGGAGGGGGAGGTGTGGTGTGGAGGGAAGGAGTTGAAATATTGTTTTTTTTTCTCTATTCTTATGTATAGGGGGAGGGGAGAGGGGGGGGAGGTGAGGGGGAGGAGAAGAGGGGGAGAAAAAGGGGGGAGGGGTGAAGGTGTGGTGTGGAGGGTAGGGATTTGAAATATTGTATATTTTTTTCTCACTCTTATCTATATTTGTGTTATCATTCACGGGGAATTTTGTTCTATAATGCGTTGTGTGAAATGTATATTTACTCCTGTCATTCCGTATTGTATTATCCTATATCATCACCATCGCTAATCTAATCATTATTAACATCATCTTTTTTATTTATTCTTTTCTCCTTCTTTCACGGAAATTCTCTAATCTCGTGACGTCATCAGAAAGTGCGATCTTCCTTTGTTCTTTCAGCCTCGAGAAGTTTTCCGAACTTAGTGTCAGTAAAAGTGTTTTTATTTTTCCTATTCTCCGCTTGCCTTCGTTAGTTGGGTGAGTGAATATGGATGTGAATGAGAGAGAGAGAGAGAGGGAGAGGAGAGGAGAGGGAGAGGAGAGGGAGAGGGAGGGAGAGGAGAGGGAGAGGGAGAGGAGAGGAGAGAGAGAGAGAGAGAGAGAGAGAGAGAGAGAGAGAGGAGACGAGAGAGAGAGAGAGAGAGAGAGAGAGAGAGAAGAGAAGAGAGAGAGACAGAGAGAGAGAGACAGAGAGAGAGAGAGAGAGAGAGAGGAGAGAGAGAGAGAGAAGAGAGAGAGAGAGAGAGAGAGAGAGAGAGACGAGAGAGGAGAGAGAGAGAGAGAGAGAGAGAGGAGAGAGAGATGAACGAGAGAAGAGAAGAGAGAGAGAGAGAGAGAGAAGAGAGAGCAGAGAGAGAGAGAGAGAGAGACGAGAGAAGAGAGAGAGGAGAGAGAGAGAGAGAGAGAGAGAGAGAGAAAGAGAACAGAGAGAGAGAGAGAAGAGAAGAGAGAACTGGAGAGAGAGAGAAGAGTGGAGAATGAGATAGTCTGATGATGAGTGTGAATGTGAGTAAGTTGTAGAGTGTGAGTCTGAAAGGGAGAGTGGTGCGTGCGTTGGGTGCGTCGTGCGTGCACTGCTCATGCGTACGGTGTTCGTGTGCCTATAAACTACAGGACTCAGAGAAGGTGACTGAAGGAGCAGAGACAAGCGAAGCATAGTTGTGAACACGTGGCTGATTAATATTTATTTGAGAGAGTCAGAGAGAGACAGAGACATATTAACCGTAAAGGAGAAAGGGCAAAAAGAACAGAGAAAAATGAGGAGAGAAAGAGGAGACGATGGATAAGGAGAGGAGAGGGAGAGGCAGAGGGGACGGAAGGGAGAGGAGGGAGATGGCAAGGGAGGGAGGGAGGGAGGGGAGGGGTGAGGCCGAGAGAGGGAGGAAGAGGGAGAGAGAGAGAAAAGAGAGAGAGAGAGAGATAGAGACGAGAGAGAGAGAGAAGAGAAGAGAAGAGCAGAGAAGAGGAAGAGAGAGAGAGAGAGAGAAAGAGAGAGAGAGAGACAGAGAACAGAGACAGAGACAGAATGACGAGGGAGAGAGAGAGGAGAGGAGACAAGAGACAGAGAGAGAGGCAGAGCAGAGGGAGAGAGAGAGAGAAGAGAGAGAGAGAGAGAGAGAGAGAGAGAGAGAGAGAGAGAGAGAGAGAGCGAGAGAGAGAGAGGAGAGAGAGAGAGAAGGGAGAGGGAGACGGGCAGACAAGCAAGAAGAGAGAGAGGCAGATGACAGAGAATAGAGAGAAGCGTAAAGAAGAAAGAGAAGAGAGCGAGAGAGAGAGAGAGACGAGAAGAGAGAGAGGGAAGAGGAGGCCGAAGATAGAGAGGATCGAGAGAAGAAGAGAGGGAGAGAGAAGAGAGAGAGAGAGGGAGAGGAGGAGCGGAGGAAAGGAGAAAGAAGAAGGCAGGGAGAGGGAGGAGGGAGAGGAAGGGAGAGGGAGAGGGAGAGGAGGAGACGAGGAGAGGGAAGGGAGGCAGAGAGAGAGGGAGAGAGATGAGAGAGACGAACGAGAGAGAGAGAAGAGAGAAGAGAGCAGAGAGGAGAAGAGAGAGAGAGAAGAGAGGAGGAAGCAGAAGGGAAGAGAGGAGAGGGAGAGGAGGGAGGGGAGAGGAGAGGAG